ATCTTCCAGAGGCTCCTTCTAAACATAACAATTGACGACAGGCTCCTGATAGTTTGGAGGAGACCGACCTCAGCCCTGAGACTATGATGAATATGATTTCCCTTCCCCCTCTGTTTTGATTTTCTGCTCTGTTACTCCAGAGCATTGGCTGGCCATGACCCCTGGCTGCTTTTTCTGTAATTACCAGCTCCTGCCAGATTTACTGTGGAAGTTAATGTCTGTTCCAGCCAAGTCAGCCCCACTGTTATATTGTACGAGACAGTAACCCCTTCATTACAGGCAGGACTTGAACAAAACAAAACAAAGAATCAGGAAAAGAGTTTCTAAAGGCCTTGTGGAAGGCCTTATGCACTTGACAAGGGTGCCGAATTAGCATTAGCACTTTCATTACATAGAAGCATGCCACAAAATCTTCTTCAAGGTCTTTCAAATCCTGCAAAGCCTGTGGGGTGCCTGATGAGGAAACAGCAAGAAAGCAACAAACTCTAAGGCTTTCTTTTCAGTCCACTGTACTCCTCTGGGACTTTTCTTCAGAGTCTGCACATGATCTGGAGGACTTTTATAATAAATTGACACTCTGATGTTTTAAGGTTACCCTTAAATTGAGAAGGATCTTTTGTCAGTTATTGTTTTTGCAAGCCATTTTTTACATGCTCAAATGAAATTTGCTAAGAAGGGCAAGATTCAAATTCAGATAGATATCCACCAAAAGCACGTGTCTCAGGTTAGGTCCAGCCATCAGAAACACCTTGAATTCTGCCTGAGGTCCAGCTGATCAGAGCAGTTCATGGGTTGCATTCATTACAACAGTGGACAGAGTACTTTAAAGGTTTGTAGAAGATGAAGTACACTTGATATTAGCCAAGGGCTAAATGCAGTTAAAATAAAGACCAGTTTCTGATAAAAATTGTATTGAGCTACCTCTGGAATCATCCTGTTCATGGGGTCATGATGAGTAGCCCTCATATTGTGTGCACCACATGAGCAGAAATGTCCATAACAGCAATGAGTAATGTTAGTAGTTTCTACTCTAGACACAGCTGGAAGATAATCACAAGGAATCAAAGAGATCGCTTAAGAACTAGCCTGTGGCTGTGACCTGTTACCACAGATGGGAAGACGTTATGAACAGACCAAGTGGGCTTGAGTAACACATCTGCAGCAAATCCTCCTCTAGGGCTCCCCTATTTCTGTCCAAGATTTTGCAGACAGATGCACACTAAGAGCATGGTGTAATACACACAGAGTAAGTCAGGTGCTTTCAGGAAGTACCAGATGTGCTGCATGTGCCCTGTAGAGTTATTCTTTGCATTTGAGATAGCCTGATACTGATAATAGGGCAGTACATCCAGTAGATCTCTGCATCAGACTTTCTTCATGTGGCTTTTTTAGCACAGTGCACGTGCACAATAGCACGAGTTGGGGTACTGCCTGTCCCGGGCACCCCACAGCGATTCCTGTGCACCTGCCTGCGACTCTGAGATGTGCTGCAGTGTAGCAGCGGGCTTATGGCCTCAAAAGTTAACCAGATATTTGGAAAAACATGGGAAATCTATCAAGTTAAAGAATAAAAATAAAAGAGAGAGAGAGAATCCTAAAAGATTTATCTATGAGTTATCTATGTGTGGAAAAAGAAGACGTCTGAAAATGCTAGATGTATGGATAGCCCAAATCTTCACCAAGGTTCTTGGTGGATTACCCACTGTTAAGGAAAGAACAGCTCTCTGTTCTTCACCAAGGCCATCAGAGACAACCTGAGAGCTTGTGGGGCTGCAGAGTGTGACTGCTTGGAAGGAGAAGCTGTCTGGGTGTATGTCTGTTCCCACTGTGGAAGCTGGGACTAGGGACATGCCAGCACCGGGGGGCTGGAAATAGCAGTCTGACACCCCGAGGACTTGCACACATGCCAGCTTTCAGACAAAAGACTTTGGGGCCAGCCAGCAATGACTGCCCCACCGCTGACTTCTAATGTGTAAACTTGACAAAAGCCGGTCTGTAACGACGTCCTGACAGGTATGGATGCCAGCTCCTTCTGGGCTGTGTGCTTTTCTGCATGTGCAGGGAACAGGAAGGGAACCTGTCTGTTCGAGTGAAGTTTATAAAGGACGACAAAACTCAAACGAGAGCAAACACAGAGCATCCCTACCAAAAGGAAGGGGAGGCAAAGGGCACTCCTATGGCATCTGTGGTGCTCTGGCCTCAGCCCTGGCCCAAAACTGTGAGGAAACTCACCCACCGGTGCAGAGTAGGGGCAGCAAAGGGGACCCTACGGGGGCCTCCCGGTGCCGAGCAGACCTCTCAGCTCCTTTCTCGCGCGTGAGACAACCCAGTGGCCTGTCACGCAAGGCAGGGACGTGTCTGGCAGGCCGGCCCTGTGAGAGGCAGGGGTTGTGGCAGGAGGCCACGGCAGCCTGGCCGCCCGCCAGCCAGCACGGCTCGCCTCGACAGGGACCTGCTGATCCGCCGCCCCGGACACGCAGCCTCGCCGTGCACCACACGTGCGCGTGAGGAATTTATTAACCTCACAGCGGGGAGGCGTCAGATGGGAGTCAGGGCCGCCAGGAGCACAGGCACTCGTGCTCGGCGCCTGAGACTCAGGGCTCTGGGCGGGTGCTGAGGAGGAGAGCTCTGTCACTCTGTCACCTGGGCACCCCCGGCAGGACCTGCCATGGCACTGCTGCTGGACACTGGTAAGGGCCAAAATAATCCCTGCCGGGACTGGGTGTGAGGGCAGCCCTCTCCACTCACCCCGAGGAGATACAAGCACAGCTCCTGCTCTTTTGGGAACACTGTATGCTGCCGTTGTGAGAGGCTGTGGCAGACACAAAGAGATGCCCCAGGCTGATAGGCATGAATCGTGAACAGGGCCATGCTCTCCCTTACCTTCCTGCACATGTGGAGGCCTTGCATGAACGCTAGGGCATAGACTGGGATATTTTGAGGCACGTGTGTCAAGCAACCCCTGGAGCCAGGGGCTGCCATTGCAGAGCAGGCTGCTGGGCTGCTTAGGCAGGCACTCGGCCCTGTCAGTGGCTTGAACCTGTGTTTCAGAGAGAAAGGGAGATCTTGTAACTGCGTCTGGCCAGGGATGCAGTGCTGTGCTTACTATTCCACGTCTGGGAGACCTGCAGGGTTATAGCATCCAGACCTTCCAGCACTGACCTAAACCGAACCACAGAACATGAGGGAGACTGCAGCCAAAACCAGCCACATTTCACGGGCACCCCCTTAAACCCTGGTTTGTGAAAGAGAGGGCCAGAGCCTCCACAAGGGGCTTTACCTCCATCCTGAGTGACGGCTTCATGTTGGTGCTGTGCAAGTTTCTGGATGTGTGGAAGCCACCAGGTATTTTCATGTTAGGAATCCTACAGGATAGATAAATGTGTGTTACAGGCCATTTGCAGCATCTTTACATTATAGAAGCAGGTTTTAAAACAGTCTCCAATGGTTGCAGCCTGGCATAATCTCAAGTATTTAAATAATTTTAAACCTTCATCATTCTAATAGTTGAATTTATGAAAAATGAGAATTGGACTCTCTTGATTTCTGTATTGCTTGGGATCTGTTTTTGAAAAGGCATTTTCAACCCATACTGAAAGGTGAAATATATTGACAGCTTCTTTCTAAGTGTCTTCAGGTGCAAGTTGGTGTGATGGAAAGATCTCAAACAAGGGCAGGAGTGGGAGGTCCTGTTGCTCCTGTTTATGATGCAGACCAGAATTTGCTGCTGAATTTGAGTTGGACTGCAGTTTTCTTTTGATTTTGGTGTGTATATGTACCATGTATGAGTAACTATTTTAATAGTTACCTCCTAGGACAAGAGCTCTGTGTGTCTGTAAATCTGATGATAAGGAAGCAGAGTTTGTCAGTTTGAAAACTAAAGGACTGCACTTATATTGGCGTGTTGGTCAACAACTGTCTCCATGTAGACATGTGTTATTGGTCATCATGCATGCTGGAGAGCCTGCAGAGAAACACTCCCTATCGTAAACACCTTCAGCTATCTGGTGATCAAGCTGTGGGTTTTTTCTTGTGGGAATGTAGGCTTAAGATGAACCCAGCATCAGAACAAAAGCTTTGTCAGAGAGAAGGGGGTTTGCAGTGTATGAAGTTGGTTTTGATTCATTCCTGAGCTCAGATGTTGCTTTGGGAAATGTATTCTCTTTAGGTCTCTCACTCTGACTCTATAAACAGAGGCAGCGACTTGCATTTGGAGGCACTAAAAATGATTTAAATGATTCAGCCTGGGATTTTTGCCAAGCAGCACCTCCTTCTGTTTGCTGTGGGGGCTTTTCTGCCCTCCCCCGGTGGGTTGTTGGTTGTTGTTTTTGTTTTTTGTTTTTTTTTTTTTTCCTTCCATGCAAAATTTTTTGAGACTATCCTTTGAGACCGTCTCTTTCTCCAAAACAGAAGAAAAAAAAAGTTTGCTCCTCCAGATGGACAGCTGCTCCCCACTTCTTTTGATGTCGCTTTTATCTGCCAGGCCAGTGCTCTCTCACCCTCTCCCCGCCCCCGGAGGCAGTTTCCATGGGGGTCTCAGGGGAGCTTTGTCTCTCACATGTGTTTAAAGAGAAATGTGGAGCTGACACAAAGGCTCCACGGCTCGACCTTTCGCCCTCCGGAGTTATGAGGGCCATAAAGCTCAAGTCCCTGGTAACAGCACTGATGACCAGGGCAGCTCTGGACACAGACAGAGCTTTTCTGGCAGAAAATTGTTTAACTAAAAATAGTTCTAGGGAGGAAAATAAAAGGTTGTGCAAACTAAGCAATGTCTTTTATTTCCTTATTTGGCGTTACTGGTAGTAGGATAAATTTCTTCAGCATGGCCAGGAGCAAACAGCTCCGCTGCATGGAGCATCGGATCTGAAATGCACCAGGCACGGGCAAAAAGCGGCACCTGCTGAGGTGCAGGGGCACGAGCACGGGGATGCAGACACAGAGGAGGAAGGCAGGGCGGCTCTGCCACCTCCTCCGTGTCACAGCCACGGGCAGAGCTCATGGGGCCTGGGCACCTTGGCCTGAGGCAGCGGGACTGCCCGGCGCCACACAGGGGGAGCGGAGCTGCTTCTCCTGCTTTTCCCTCACCACTCACAGCTGGGAGGCCTCTCCTTGAGCTAGGTGTCCAAGCTGGATGTCTCCCACCATGATTTGAGTCATTATCAGGGCAATCCTTTTTTTTTCTTTTTTTTTTTTTCTTTTTTTTGTGTGTGTGTGTTTGTGTGTGTGTCTTTAAATCCCCATTCAGGCTGGCTCCTGACAGATGTTGGATCCAGGTGCTACACATTTGAGGTAAAAGGTTTTTCCAGCTGAAGCTGTTGTCTTTACCCTAAAATGGGCCAGGCATAGAGTGAAAGAGCAGAAAAAAAGGAGGTTAAAACAAACAAACAAACAAAAAAAGGGTCCCCTTGCCTCCTGCTGAGGGTATTTATTTGTAGAAGAGTTGCAAGAGTGTTAAATACCTGTGCATAAGTTATAAAAAGTAGAATAGCTCCAACAGGAGAGTTACTTGCCCAGAGTGTCTGCTAGCTGAATGATGAAGCTGCTCTCTTCAGAGGTGCCAGATACCAGAACAGAAATTCAGAGGTGGGCCCTTCATTTCCTTAAAGGAAGCTCTAATGTTTGGGTACTGGGTGTGATAAAGGGCAGGTGACTATGAAGCCTTGTTCCTTGGTTTTCTTTTGTCCAAATTAAGCTTGCTGCAATGTGGCCTGGTCATTTAGACAGGGTAGGTGGGGTGGGGGCATGCTGTAGAATAGGGGCTGATTGTGTACATTAAGAATCTGTGCAGAAGATTCAAAATCTCCGTAACATCTCAATACTGTGAGAAAATGCCTCGTTCTTTCTGTGAGCAGGTTGTCTGGGAGCTGGGGCCACCTGTTACATGTGTATTTGTAGGTACATCAGCTTGGTAGGGTTTTTATCAAGGCTTAGGGCTATGGCAGTAATAAGACATTTCCCAGGAATCTTTCCTTATGCTTTTGTTCTTCCAAACCAGATAAACAGAGGGCCACTTGCTGTGCAGCAGAGGGATAGTTTTTTCCCCATTCACAAAAGAATTCAGACGACTCTTATTTTAGGTTAAATAAAACAAGGGGGAGGGGGAGAGGACAAGAAGCCTCCAAAAGAAAGGGAAAAAAAAAAAGATTTATGTTGAAGTAGTGTTGTTATAGCTTTAACCAAAATGCAGCTAATATTAGTGCAGACAGGGAGAATTTTTACACCAAAAGGAACACAAGGAAAAGACAGCCAGCATCTCTTTCCACTTACAGAATCTCTTGACCCAGTATCTCCCTATGCAAGCATGCACTGACAGTTGCATGCAGTAACTCTTTGTGTAGCTGAGTTTGCCTGCCTGCCTTGCATGATAAGGTGTGCATGTGCACTCTCCTTTTCTTCCTATAAATCTTTTTCTTTCCAGAAAGTTGTAAACCTAAAGATAACAGTGCACACTCTCTGAAAAGTGAGGTTTACACTGAAATCCTTGGCTTAAAAGTGTTGCCTGGAGGAGAGAAATCTCAGTAAGCCCCGAGGCTGGTGGTTTGGCTCATGAACCAATTGTCACTCTGTGACCATAACACAGGGAGCACAGTGGGGGGAAGGAAAGGTGCAAATAAGGAGTACACGGGGCAAGCATTTCTTTGGCTCTGATCATCCTTCAGTGGTATATGAGCCTTCAGGGGATCGCACGACTGCCATACAGTAAAACACCCCTACAGCTCCCCTAAATCACATCACCTTGTAGGATCAGCGAACACAATCTCTTCCCTCCCATACATCACCCTTACAGCAGACAGATCTCAAACGCAGAGCAGAGTTGAGCACTTCTGCTCTCGCTGGATCCAGAGCATGTGCCTGCGGTTAACAGCAGATGATCCTAATCGCAGCTCCCGCAGCCCAGGGCTAGCTGATAACTCCCTATTCTGACTGCTGACCCCTGTAATCTCCTCAGTCCTGAGAAGGAGCAGATATTGTGAACGATGTTTTTTAGTAGTTGGGACAAAAATAGTCCTCTTCTTGCACAAAGCATTCAGATAGCAAACTATAGAAGCAGCAGTGGCTGAGCAGCCAAGCTGCAGGGCTGGGAAAGATCTGCATTGTGTATCTGGCTCCACCACAGGCTTGCTCTCAGTGACCTCGGGGAAATAATTATTAAAGGTCTCACAGCCTCACTTTCTTCCTCTGGAAAAAATCAAGATAATAATAGGCAGTGATTCTGAAATGGTATTGTGAAGATACATCATTAATGGGTATTTCTAATGGGCTTTGAATTGCCCACGGAAAAGCGGGATGCAGAATTAACATCTGGGAGACAAACTTTGCTGAAACTGCTCCTTTACTAAGAGAGTGGTTTCACTGCTTCTGCAGCAGCCCTTAAGGCTGCATTACTACCACAGGGTAGTCTCGTGAACTCTCCATTTACACTTTAAAACCTCTGCGCAGGCAGCAGCAGAGTCACAGATGCAGCTGCAAGAAGAAACCACACACCACAGTTGTGCAGGTGCATGTGGGCCCCAGTGGGAAAGAATATTAACTATTTCCTGGTAATAGGAACACAGAGGTCCTTCACACTTGCAAAATAATCTCAGCACAGTTCCAGGACACGGTCTGTGTGGGAAGCTGCTATTCATTTGAATACACAACTGTGCTTAACTGTGCTGTGATCCTAGCTTAAATGACTACAGGCTAAATATTCTGGATTCTCTTTCAAATTCAACTAAGTTTGTGCATTGTGTGCCCTGTAGTTTCAGTGTGATAAGGAGAGCTTTTATCCTATGATTTCCATTAGTGTTAGTGTAAAGCTTTATGTCTGGGAGGAATAGGTGATATTTACCTTGGTATTTTGCAGGATCAGATCCAGTTTTTAAAGAAGCTACTCCTGTTGTTTTCATCTGTTCTTCACTAAAATTTGCTGTAAGATCATTCTTTGTACCCATAAAGTAGCCAGGAATTAGAATAACTCATAATTCATCTTTTTAAAGAAGTCCTATATTTCTGGAATAAAATTATTTGTCATGATTCTCTCTAATATATTCTTTAATTACAATTATTGTCTGAAATTGAAACTGCGTGATTGTTTGCAAAAGTAACGAGGCATGTTTCCCTTCCCTGAAATGACTGAAGTGAGAGTCAGGCTCCCAGTATGAATGTACACATAAGCTATATATTGAAATCATTTGCTTTGAAATTGCTTCCAGTTATCAAGTTTTCTATAATATTAAGATGCAAATCTAGGCAAAGCAGATTTTTTTTATACACTTAATATCTGTGAATCTGGTAGGATTGGCTGAGCTGAAGCTGCCACAGGAGATAATGATGTTCTGCTGAAACACGGTAACGCTTCAATAAACCCTGATGATGATAATGCATTGAAATAACAACATGTGGCATTGCAATCCACCCACACATCATCATGCATCACACCAAAAATGTCACGATGTGCTGATGGTTAGGTTTCTCTTCTAAAATCACAAAGCTGGCAGTCCTAGTCGTACTGCTCACAACAAAATGTTCTGTTTTGTTTTGTGTCTTTGGCTGGTTTCGGCTGTACCCAGGATCTTTCTCACTTGAGGTGGCAACGGTGGGTGCTCCTTAAGTGTTTTAAAAATGGCATTCAGAAAAATGCCCACCCAAATTCCTGTTCTAGCAGAAGCCCACCTGAATAGTAGGAGGCTTTAAAAATGGGCAGAAAATCTAGTAAGAAAGAAGTGTGGCACCTGATTTTAATCTCTTCTTCCTTTCAATTTCACTTGAAATATAACTTCAGCAAATTTTCCAAATGTCTTTGAACTTGCACATTTGAACACTTAGTTTTGGCACAAGTTTCAGCAGAGGGTTAGGTTGGTAGCTGGTTGGAATGGTAGCAAAAAAAATGAATTTTATCTTCCCTCCATATCATGATAACGAAATAGCTCTGAAAACTTTTTATGTTTGCCTTCTTGATAAATCATAGAATCATAGTCACATTAACTTCTACCTTCAGGAGTGTCTGTCTGCTTTTCTTACCACTGATGGAGATAAAGTAAAAATGAAAAAAATAATAGCTTGAAATATGCAAGCTGTTTTTCCGAAATCCTAAAAAAGGTCTGTCTGTATTTAGGTTAGGACCTGAATGGCGTTCTGGTGCTTAGACTCTAAATTGCAATTCTGAGGACCTCAGCTGCTGCTTAACTCTGCAAATAACTACTTTCAATAGGTGCTTCAACTCTTAACAACAAAAAATCCTATTTAAGCACTCTTAAAATTCTGTTTCTACATGTGCTTACCAGCACTTCAGTGTTTGTAGGTCAGAGAAGTGTGACTTCTATCCCACATCAAAGGTCAATAGAGATCCCGAAAATAAAAGATTCTCTGCATCTCCCTCCTTTCCCTTATCGAGCTCCACATGAAATGAACGATCCTTGCTGCTTTTCTCTTCTTCCCCCAGAGCAACAGTGATGGCGATGATGACGGTTGTGTTTTCACACAGTAGCTTGGTGGTTGCAACAGTCTTCCCAGGGATATACATTAGATAACCATGTTTAAGACTGTCACTTACATTGTGGTAAGTCTATTAGGACTTCGTCCATCCTTACCAAGAGGAGTGCTGTCCTGCTTTTATTTAATGTTTCCAAATTACTGGGGAGATGTACTCAATTTCCTTCTGAAGGACTTGAAGTTCACATTTCCCACCTCTCTGGAAAGTGCTCTAATGATTAGTGAAGAGATTCTGGTAGGACATATCTCCTCATGTAAGTCTTGCAGTGGAGAAGGTGGAGAAAATGGGATTCACTATGTCAGAGAGAAGAGTTGTCATGACTGATACTACTGATGAGGTCACTCACCTAGCCAGAGCCTTGTCTTCCTCGCCCTGCCTCAGGGCTGCTAACAGTGTAAACAGCTATGGCATGAAGTACTTAAACAGCCCTGAGATCAGCTCAGGACGTCCCTGACCATGAGAGTGCAGGCTAAACAGTTATGTACTGTTCTTCTGGTCCAACTCATTTCCAATGCTTTCCTGAAGTTGTTTTTTTTTTTTCTACAAGACAACTTGGGAGTACCCTGAAACCTCTTGTCTAGTGGCCAGAGTCCTCTGAGCAGCTGTGGCTTTGTCGGGAGGTGGAGGTGTAGCAGAAGGCAATAGCACAGTTTCGGTGCATTTCACACTTGTGGCCAATAGCACCTGCTAATACATCATGTACTCATGAATTAGGTGATGTGACAGCGGCCATGCAACTGTGCACTACATATTTCCCTCCATGTTTAGGTCAGGCCTGTGTCTGTCCATATGTCCTAAAAGGTCTGAGCTTCCTCCATGTTCTGGCTTCTTCTCTGTGGGACTGAAAATTGGGTAGCATGAAGCCTGGCCCTGCAGTGCCAGAGTTCCTCCTCTGGACCCAGCAGGGCCAGAGCCACCACTTCTGCAGCATGGCTGGCACACCAACATGAAAGCAGGCGTGACTCAGTGCAGAATCTTCTTAGGGAAAGGACTCCAGGAACTTCCTGCACAGACACAGGCTCTGTCTCCTCTTTGTAAGCACTGGAGGGGAAATGGAAGAAGAGAAACACCAAGGGTGGGAAATAAGACTGTGTTTTCATTTCCTCTT